CAAACAGACAATCAGCACCAACAGAACCACGACAAGCGCCAGCAGGTAGAGCAGTAGCAGACGACCAGCAAACAATGCGCGTAGAAGATGTTGAACTATCACCTCAAGCAGTAGATGACAATTTTGACGCGACACCAGTTCAACAAGCAACAGGAGCATCAAGTTCAACAGCCCAACAACCACCACCATTACCAATGACGCCATTATTTAAAACAACAATAGATAATACTATTAGTCCTGTTTACTGGAAAGAAAACCCCAATTTAACAGTAAATGATATTAAATTTCAATTTTTTTTAAGAGGAATTCAAGTGCCAAAAGAAAGCGAAATACAAGAAGCATTGAAACACAAAGGCAGAGGCAAGGCGAGAACTTACAAAGAATATTTAACAGATATGATTTTAGACACTATTGATAATGGCGGGTGGATAGTAAATTTAGGCAAAGGTAGAATAGAAGAACTCAAGGCAAGTTTTAAGGGCAAAGGTAAGAAATAACAATATACATAATAATAATGATAATATTGACAAAAAACATACTGAAAAGAAAGAAGCAGACATTCAATGATAAATATGATGACGACAGTTTTTCAATACATAACCTAATAATGAAACCAAACACACCAACAACAATACAGCCACCGAAATTGATGAAAAAGGGCACGCCGAGAGAGTTTATTGACATTGCAACCAACACAGATACGATTGCTACAGCAACCAGAGAGACTCAAGAAAAGTTATACAATGATGCAAATCAGCAATTAAATATGACATTTGAAGCGTTTAAGGTAAAGGAAAACCAAGACAATATGTTTAAAATAATGCTTAAAAACGTTTGGCACAACGCATACAAAAGACATGAACCAACAAGAACACAAGCAACACAAACATTGAAAAACCAACGCGACGCAATGGTGTCAGCCTTTACTAAAATGCTCGACAACAACAAACCACCAGAACCACCACCAAAGAAACCACCAGACGAGGATGACAGCGATGAAGAAAAGAAGTTCAAACTGACAAAAATGATAGAAATCATGCTACACAACGGCGCTACAATAGCAGATATCATATTAAACTTATCACACAGTGCAATTGCAACAACTATAAATATCGCAGATTTAGTCAATCAAATAACAGCAGGACATGCACAAAGTAGCGGTAGCAATTCATCAAATGAAGCTATTAGTGTTCATAGTTCTCCACCTATTACTGTCTTACCCAGTTCTGTTTTTGACGGCTCTGGCGCACATCCATTGGTTTTTGCCGACCATTGCCCGAGACACAGCAAAAATCAAAGGGATATTAATCATGGAGGGATTTTCCAAAAATCAAGGCACGATTATTCAAGAATCGGCTCATGAATTTTAGGGGCTGTGTGTTTTCATTCCGAAAATCATGTGTTGATTAATCAAGGGCGGATTAATCATGGGCTGGTGGCTCATTGCATGTCATGGGCAATGATTGACCTACTCCATGGCAACATCTTCGGTGCCATTCGTGCTCTTGGAGCGCAGTGCCTGTTGCACACGACGGCTTACATCGGCTTCTCGCTCAATGGCGTCAATCCGAGAGCACAAACATTCATGAAAGGAAGACAAATCATACCGCACTTTGTCTGTCAAAAACTCACGAGCAAAGGCAACCTCAAAGGCGGTGGTCATGGAAGCCTTCACATCTTGAAGCTCATCTGTCTGTTGTTGGATTTGGTCAATGATGGGCAAGAACACAGGCGCAATCTGGCAAATGAAGCGCTCCCCCCCTTTCTGCCCTTCATCCCACAACTCCTGCAGTTCTTGACACTTGCCAAGGCTCATCTTGCCCACCTCATTGCTCACAATGTCGTTGGCATCACTGTTGAAGATGTCATGCGCAATCTTCATCCCTTGTTGCGCAAGGTCATTGGAAGATTGAACCACCACAAACCGCTCCTTGATGCCAGCAATCTTGTCATCCCGCTTCAAAGCCTTCCTGGCAGCACGAGCACCGCCGCCCCTCAACTTGGACACCTTCAAGGAAAAAGTGCAGACCGTCTCCGTGTCCTCCAAAAACTGCTTGATGAAGGCTTCAGGATTGACTGGGCGGTTGTTGAACAGGACATGGAAATCATCGGCACTGGCAATCACATTGAACTGCTCAAGCTTGGACATGAAATTCCCAACCGTGCTGTTCTCAATGTCCATGCGAAGACAAGCACCAACCTCTGAGCGGATGCGTGTCTCATCGTCTTTTGTGTTCCGGACAACACGCACGAACACCACCTTGGCATCTGCCGGAAACTCCTCCTTGGGGTTCATGACATCCTCCTCCTCAACCTTGTTGTAAAGGTCGCTCACATAGCACTGTGCCCACTCATCGTCGCTCTCGCTTTCCTCATGGACAGGCTCAAAGGGGGTTTCCATGATGGTTTTGAACCTTGCATCATCTTCACTATAGAGCTCCACATTCACAATGTTCTCAACTGCGCTGATGCCCACCGCCTGCAAACTCAAAACCACATTGGTAAGAGCCTTTCCCCGAAGCCGAATGACTTGCTTCCAAGTAGAGCCACTTCGACAGATGGACTGGAACAGCTTCTCTGCAATCTTCTGGGTCAAGGTGCAGACACTCTCGTCCAAGTTCGCCTGGACTGACATGGTGCCAAAGTCGGCGTTGACGCGGTAGTCGAAGACGAAGCACTTAATGATGACCTCATTGGCGTAGCCCCCTGCAACAGCCTCGCACCTCTTTTTCTTCGCCTCCAGTTCCCGCAACTTATCCGAATCAACCTTCATGCCCATGGGGTTGTTGTTGAGCTTCTGCAAGGTGTCCAAGGCCGTTTGGTCACGCTCTGTCCATTCCTCAGTGTCATTGGGCTTGTAATCCTTGCCGTCAATCTGTTCAAGTGCCCCCTTTGAAGACAAGCATACACTCCAAGGCTTTTTGAGGGAGACTGGCGCATCATCTTCGTCATCCAAGCGGTGAGCCTTCCCAGCGTAGGTGTTGGTTGTGGTAGTCTGGGCTGTAGAAGATGAGGAACTCTTTTGAGCAGCCTGAACAGTGGAAATCATTTGTGCCCTGTTGTAGATGGTCTCCCACTGGTTGAGGAAGGTGTCGATGGCAGCCTGTTTTGTTGCACTCTTGTTGGAAGGACGGAAGCCAAGGCGACCCACGGTAGAGAAAATCTGGTCTTTGGTCATCTTCTCCAAAATGAAGCGGATGCGGGACACGTCCCCTGACACGTCAAGGTCATCAATCTCATCAGCGCTGAAGACAGTTCCAGCCTCCAATGCCAAAGCGCACATTGTGCCATCAGGCTTCTTGAAGAAAGTAAGCACCATTGCTCAACGAGCTATATCTCACAATCTGAAGTCTTGACAGCAAAAAAGGCTATGTAAATCAACAGTGGCTTCACGGCTCTCTCTATCTCTCTGTCTCTCCCTCTGCTTCCGTCTCTCTGTCCCCTCTCTTGTCATCAACTCTGCGCATCACACGACATCTGAAACATGCCAAGCGCACCAGTTCGGGTTGAAGAACTTCTCCCCAACGTAGCCCACCAGAAAACCCCTTAAAATCCTACAAGGGACACCACGCCTATTAAAATATATGATAAAAGTGATGAAACAAAGGAGGGGAGTGATGTTGTTGCTGTTCTATTTTTTGTCCGAGAAATGGACAAATCGTTTTTAGACAGTTCGATTTTGTTTTTGATGACAAATATTTTTGCAATATATTTTGCAAAAATTATTTTTTTGAAATGAATGAGGTGAGGAGATTGAGGAAATGACATTTTGAAGGGTAGTTGGTGAAATGAATGAGGCGAGGAGGAAGGAGAAAAGGATGGCGAAAATTTTGGAAAAATGATGATAAAAAAACGGACGAGATGGACAGAAAGGAATGTAGAAAAATGATGAAAACGAATAAGGGTAGAAGATGGAAGATGAAAAAACATGTAGGGGGGGGTGTATGTATGAAAGCAATTTATTGCTAGGCCCCCCACTACTGAAACAGGGGGGTTGAATCGCCCAACCCGGGTTCGTTGCGGTTGGTGGGAGGTTTGGGCCCAACACCTAGACGGCTTGGACAAAACAACCACTCGATTTGGTCGATTTGGAAGGGCAGAAGTCTCCAAGCTGCTCAGGGCATTCGCGTTTTGTTTTTTGTTTTTTTCCCTTTCTGAGATGGCAGAGCGAGCGAAACAAAAACCCACCCGATCTGACTTTTTAAACACGGAGAGTCCGAATTGAAGTATCAGACTTGGCTGATGGCTGTAAAGCCAACAACTCACTTCCTGAGTTCATGAACTTTAAGCTTTTTGGGAAGACCATTTTAGTGGTAAATATAAAGTTTGAACTTTTTTGGGCCATCCACTCAGCCAGTGAGTGATGGCTGTAAAGCCAACAATGTTCCAGATGCGTACAGCAAATGTTGCCCCACCTTTTTGGCCCGAACCAACCGCTGGGGCCCGCTTGTCGTGAGCAGAAAACGATCCTGGCCCGGATGTTCGTTAACCTCTAAAAGTTGGAAAGCGCCACAAGCCCACGTCTAAGTTGGTGGCATCCCCATGCCTAATATGGTGAGTTGCGTCCAGGTCGCTTGGCTCTTCTGGCTCTCCAGGGGACCGATTTGGGGGCCGATTTTCGGGGGGTCTTAGGGAAACACAGGATGCGTTCAAATGGCGCCGCAAGTGAGCCGTAAAGAAACACAAAGCCACAAGGGACCGCGCGTTTCAACCCAAGTGAGCCAGAAACAAGAACAACCACAGATGCGGATCAATCACCATTGAGTAGACTCCCACGCCAGGAGCTGATTGTGACTCAGCATTTTCGAAGGAAACCAGCCAACCCGGGCGACAACAACAGCTTTGTTTTTGGACAGTACTTGGGTTGTTGGACATGGTTGAAAACGCCAGTTGTTGGCGGATTGCCGGAGTTTGTTTTTGTTTTTTTTTTCCTGGGAGTCCCTTGATCAAACTCCTCGTATGTTTAAAGAGCGGGTCCAAAGCGACTCGAGAGTCGCAAGGTACGGAACTTGCGGTTGGTGGTGGTGGCGAGCGATGAGGCGTGCGCTTGCGAGGGGCCGAGTTTTGTTGGGGTGATACTGTGGATGGACAAAATCCTGCACCACTTTGAAGCCATGGTTGAAACCATTGTTTGTTGGTATTTACAGGGGAATCATCATTCCAGGGTTTCTTAGGTGGTGCAGGTTTTCGTCCATCCACAGTATGTTTGATCCAGGAGCGGTTCCCCAGAACTTGCGGTCGGTGCGATAGGTAGGGAAGGTGGGAATGAACCTATTTTGTTTCCCGAAGAAAGGACACCGCCTTATGAGTTTATAAGGGTCATTTCATTTCTTCTTCCCTGCACAAGCGTCCCTAGTTGAGTTGATTTCTGGAGGGCTGTTCTGCAGATCTTCTGCAAAAGGACCAGCCTGATCCAACAGGAAATCCAGCAAGTGGTTTTCGCTGTCTGCAGGGTCTTTTGAGCAATGAAGTGGGTTCCAAACGGTCATCCTCACAGCCCCTCGGGATTTTCACTCCTCTCCGTCTTGGGCTGACTTTTGTTTTCGGGACCCTTTGTTGTTTGGATTGGTTTCTTGACTGCTATTGGGTTGGATCTTTAGACTTTAACTTTTTGGGAAATCAAGGGTTTTCCACTAAACCCCCAAAAAGTTAAACTCTTTGCAGGGGGGTCAACAGCAACCAAGGTTTAAAGGGAAATCAAATAACAACTCGGGGGATAGTTCCATCTGCCCTTCCGGGCAAAACACTCGCCGCGCTCACCGAATCGGCTCACGGTACGAGCTTCATTTCAGAGGGTTAGATGCCAGATCAAAAAATCCCAGGTGGCCTTTGCAAGCACCACCCTTGTCTCTTAAAAATACGAAACTTTTCGTAACTTTTTGGGCAACATGGGCTATATGTCTGTAAACGATGAGAACTTCCCCAGGTTCCTTGGAGTCTTAAGGGGTAAGCCACCCTTGTCACTATCCCTGAAAGAGTAGGTCTTTGCGGAGGCGGCTTGTAAAGGGGACTTACCCTTTTGATAGCCTGAAGACGTCACTCACGGGTGACAACCTGGACGGAGTATCCTCAACCCTTTTTTACATCTGGTGAACTTGGGGCGGCGGCCCAAGATGAACCGTTCTTTACCTCACCCTGTGCGTTTGTGAACCCGATCTCCAAAAGAAATCAAGGGGTTTGGGGCCAAGACCCCCTGTCTGCCGGTGCATTTTCTCCGCCTCGCGTCGAGCTTCTCACCGAAAACCCCGAGTCGTCCAATGCTCCGAGCTCCGAAGCGATTGAAGGAGGAGGGCGCCTGCGCGGTGTCCATCGAAACCGCGGGCGAGCCCGGGGTGGTGGGCTGTTACCTCTCCGCCGGAGGCCGGAAAAACCAGATCGGAACAAAAGCGGAGAGATGCGACAAAGTACCCTGGAACATGGGATATTGCCACAAACTAGGATCCCGGACAAAAAGGAAAGCCCAAAAGCACGGAGAGGTTCGACAAAATGTGCCCTGGAAAATGGGGAGATCGGAAGAACAAACTGGGAGCTTGAATACGGACGTTTCCTCAAAAGGTATGGGTGATTGGCCCAAAAATTAGGAGGGTCAAAGTACCCTTGGCAAATCAGATGTGACCCTCCTCTCAAACGGTAGAGCACCACCGAACACACAAAGCCTTTGGGTCCTGTCCAACCTCAGAAACACGACTGGGGTCTCCCAAACATCTTTTACATGTTAGGGTAGACTCGATACGTAACGTAATATGGACATATGATTAATTTCCGGACCGCATATTTGGGCCAACACGCAACGGACCCTGGACTCACCTCTAAAAGCGGGGGGATCGTGGACCAAAGTTACGGGTGGGGCGGGGGGGGGGGAGGGAATGTCCATATGTCCCATGTTCAAAGGGTTCGGGGGGGGGTTGAGGATCCACTCATGGCGAAGGACTTTGGTATTGCAAGAGTTCCGCTTTGATTTCAACGGGTCAAGAAATCCAGTGCTGGTAGGGAGGCTTTAGGCATGGGTGGTTTCGAGCGTCTTCGGTAAGTGTCCTTACCAAGCGAATTTGAAATTTGTTTGGGAGCGACTCGGGTCATGTGGACTCGTCCAGGCATTGCATGGAAATCCGGCGGCAGAAGAACGCCAGGCCCTGAAAAACTTAGACCACCCTTAAGGGGAATTAACAGCTTGTCCAGACTTGCTCTGAACCAAGTGACCAAGCCACAAGGAAAAGGAATGTTGGCATGTCCTGTTGCTAAATGCCCATGCTCGGCCGATGGAGTATATGAAATGAACAATACACCAGTTTCAGGCGCTTGGTGGCTTATTCCCATGGCTACGATTTTCGCTAGGAATGCAGCTCGGTGGACAAACATCAAAAGATGACACCGCCGGGGTCACCGATTTTTTGATATCCAGCGAGCGATGTCTCGGCTTGAATCTCTTAACCTGGGGGTTGCCCTCCTGGGAGGAATCAAACAACCTGTGGGTTTAACTTGGTGGCTCCCAGCCATCCGGATCCTTAGCCTTTGAGATTTTTTTAGTGTTTAGTGGTAGTTTCCATTTAACCCGCTCTAAAAGTTAAACTTTTAGCCGGGATCTGAGGGCAGCCCAGTTAAGTCTACCTTGGGCCAGTCAAAGAGTGGAACCCTGGTCACATGAGATCGCCACTCATCTCAGAGGGCTTGTGACCTTTATTCTTGGAAGGACCATTGCGGCACCAAGCAGTTTGGGACTTTTTGGCCATCCCGCTCAGGAATTGGGAATTCAAATTCACCCCACTGCGGTGCTTTGCCTTTTCCCTCCTCAGTTGACTTGGTGCTTCTTTGTTTGCACTGAAAAGGGAAATGCCAACCCAGGCACACACAGGCAAAGACACAGGCACACCCTGGTGCGTCTTGTTTGGCGTACCCCTTTTTGGGGTTGGTTTAAAGGGACACCGAGAGGAAAGCCATCACTTTGCTGGGTCTTTAGACCAAACAAACCTACTTTCTACCCGCAGACTTCTTCCTCCCACTCAGGGCGCTGGGGCACGTGCATCCGCACGCTCGGCGGGTGCCCACAGCTGGCGCGGAACTTCATCTCGCGCCTCTATGGAAAACGGCGCGGGCGGGCGGTAGGGAGCCGGTGCTTTTCCTCCATTTGCTTAAGAATATGTTTTTCCATTTTCCTTTAGGTTTAAAATCATCACTGGAAATATGTTCATTTTCTGGGGCCTTAACCAAATGGAAGTTTCGGTATTGAACGTACAGCCTGCCCCTTGATGGGGACCCAAGAACCTGAGGCCCTGACTTTTTTTGGCCCATCTCAGGAAGTGAGGGGTCCTTCTTGATTGGTTTGCTTTTTTTTCTTCTCCCCGGCTTTATATCATGCGCTTGAAGCAAATGGTAACCATAATAGTGAACAGTGCCACTTTCACCCTGATGTTCCAATCAACATGTGTCCTTGATTCGAGCAATGCAGGCAGTTGTGAGTATATACCTTGCCCCCGGGCCCATATCACTGCATCCTCGGCGGTCTGGGGTCTTGTTTGATGCTTTGTGCATTTGGTTCCCTAAATACGAACCATCAAACATCTTATTTCTCTTGGTGGCTCCCAGCCATCCCCTTAGCCTTTTAGCTTTTTAGTGTTTACTGGTAGTTTCCATTCAACCCACGAAACGTTAAACACTTTTAGCGTGGGATCTGAGGGCAGCCCAGTTTTGACTGGGCAACAGCCGAAATCTTGACACGTTGATCTGCAAAGCGCAGGTTTGACAATCTAAACTGGTCCACTGGAGGCTCCCACTTCTGAGTTGCCGGGGGGTTCAGTCACAGGGGGTCTTTTTGCCGCCTTTTGTGGAACAATGATCGACCCCCTCGTAGTGAAGGATTCCTTTTCGAGGGGGTCGCCAATTTTCTCACAAAAGGTGGCAAGAAGACACCCCGTTCAGTCAGGCGCAGTCTTGGCTTCCGGTGGCATCGCAGAAATTGAAAGGCCATTCCCGCGGCCTCTCGCGAGAGGCCATTGGCAGGTGTGTCCATCCGTTTAATGTGAACCAGTGGATAGACAACATCCATTTCGCACCATTTTCAACGCATAATTGAAGCCATTGTTGGTTGGTATTTGCAGTTAAATCATCAGACACCAGGGTTTCTGAACGGTGGTGCAAAATGGATGTTGTCCATCCACAGTACTGTGGATGGACAACATCCCAGTATGAATAGTTTTGTCATCCATCAACTCTGTTCATCCACAGTGGAATTTCACCGCCCACAACCCCCACAACCCCCACAACCCCCACAACCCCCACAACCCCCACAGCCCCCACAACCCCCACAACCCCCACAACCCCCACAACCCCCACAACCCCCACAACCCCCACAACCCCCACCACCCCCACCACCCCCACCACCCCCACCACCCCCACCACCCCCCACCCCCCACCAACCCCACTCGACTCTCACATTAACCCAAAACAAGGTGAACATCACCCCACATGTTTAGGGAAACAGGGGCAGGGGGGAGAACAAACAGCACGAATTTGGACTCGCCAGGGGGACAGTGTCCTTAGACTTATTGGACAAATGGGTGTGTCTTTCTGTTTGGGGGTACCCCTTTTTCTTTGGTTTTCAAAGGAAGACCAAAAGGACACCCGAAGCCATGTTAGAAGGTTGAACGATTCCTGCTTTGAGCCACGCCCAAAGGCATGGCCGTTATTTTTTTTGCTTCGAGTTTCCTCTCCTGGGTCCCCCAGCTAGGTGCCCGACCTCTACCCCTTTTTTTGGGGGAGGGTTTCCCTACTAAGATAGACAAAACCGAAAAAAGTTGGCACCAACTTATTCTCTCAAATCTGGAGGATCTAGCCATGGGTCAAAATCCAGTACCCCCAGTGAACATCCCAATCCCTACCAAAATAGGTTCTAAAATGGGTGGTGAATTCACCTACCCCAAAACGGTACCAAAACGGTTTTGACCCACAGCCAGCTAGCTCTCGCAAAAGGACCACCGAGGGCTCGGTTTTTGAAACGACCCAAACAAGCCGACGCTTTCCGCGAAAAGCCGCCGGCTGCCGAAAGCCGGCCCAGGCAAGCGAGGTGGGGTGTGGTGCTGGTGCAGTGTGCCGGCCGGGTGGAGGACGAATCGGTCGGTCGGTGCTTTTGGTTGGAGGACTTTAACTTTTTGCCAACTAAGGCACCACCCGTTTTGGGTCCCCTAAGACATATTGTTTGTTTGGGTTTAGAGGCAATACTTTGTTCCATGTTGCTTGGACGTTGAGACTTGAGAACTTTTTGCCAACGAATGGATTGGTTTTCCGTATTAAACAAAACTAAAAGTTGCAAAACAACCACTAAAAGTTATTCACTTACTAATGGGTTTTCCGTATTAAACCACTAAACAAACACTTTTAGCAGGGCTTCGCAGATTTCGCGACCATGAGAACCTATCGATCGACGGGTACTCGACCCTAAGACTTAAAGAAAGACAGGAATGATCGACCCCCTCGTAGTGAAGGATTCCTTTTTTGAGGGGTCGACCCCCCATTGTCTCACAAAAGGTTGCAAAAAAAAGACACCCCTGAAGGAAACCATCCGTCCGATTTGGTTTCCTTTGAACCGGAAGCCCTAAGAAAGGTTCCCCCCAAAAGACAGTGCCCCACAGCCCAGCACCCCAAAAGCGGCAACTCAACAAAAGGCACGATACTTCTCGGGGTTGATTTTCCTTTTCCATTCTTTTCAACCCTCGTTCTTTTCGAAAAGCCGGATCCGTTTTCCCTGGGTTTTGGGTGGTTTCCTGAAAAGATTCGGATCGGAAAGGATGGAAATGGACGGTACCCCTAGAAGTATGTGTTCTTTTGTTGCAACACCTCAAGGGGATTCCCTGGGGTTCAGGTGGTTTCCTGAAAAGATTCTGATCCCTCGGTTCAGAATGGACATGGAAGGTACCCCTCGAATAATTGCCGCGCCCACAGCACGCCCCAACAGCTGGCGCTCAGGACAATAGCGTGCGCGGCCTGGGGGAAGCGGGGCTGGTGCTGGTGGGCGGCAGCACCTGGGTCCACAGGTCTGCTCGGTTTCGCGGGTTCGATTGGGTGTGCCGATGTGGCAAAGCACCGATGTGGCTAGGTGTCCTACAGGGGGCCCCCCCGATTTTGGGTTTGGTCTTCCTTTGGAGGAACCAGGGAAAGGGTGCCTAACACAAGACACCCCCCATGGAAGGATTTAAGAATGTTTAAGAGTACCATGTGTCAAGAAATCTCCAAACCGGGACACAGATGGGTGTGCCTTTTCTGGGCCCCCCCAAAATGGGTCGTTTTCCTTTTGGTTTCCGCCTTTAAAACCCAAAAGACCAGCTACCCAGATGTTCCATTTGCTTGAGATGATATGTGTTTATTTCCCTTTGTTGGTTTTAAAGGGAATCCATCGCCACTGGACATATGTGTATTTCTTTCTTTCCAGGCGGCGAAAAAGCAAAGGGCAGCCATGTGTCAAGAAATGTCCAAACTGGGGCTCACCAGATGGGTGTGTCTTTTTTAGGGGAACCCCCCCACCCACCCAAAACAACAGTTTGCCTTTTGGAATCTCTTTTAAACAGCCAACAGATCGCCCCGAAGTGGGTCGTTGTCCTTTTGGTGTCCCTTTAAAAACCCCACAACGTCGGGTACCAACTCTAAAGAAAAGACGAGGCCGTTAATGCAGGAACCAGATGGCGGACTGCGGTGGGCCGGCGGTGCTGTGCGTCGCTGACTGCCGGGCTGTGCTGCAGGCCAACGACATACGCACCTCGACAAGAAGCTAGAGGCGTTTTGGGTGGGTCCAACACCGGGGGCGCGGGGCATGGCGGCCGGAGAAAGTAGCATGCTGGGTCCCCGAGCCAGGTGCCCGACCTCTCACCCTTTTTTGGTTGGGAGGGTTCCCCTACAAGAATAGACTACAGAAACAAGGGTACCCTTATTCTAACCTCTCTACTGGAGAACCTAGCCAAGTCACATGGAACCTGACATTCGGAAGGTCCTGGCTTTGGGCCATTGTCCTTTTCAAGGGATCCCTGAACGTCAGGTTCCAGGTACAAAGGGTGGGAGTGTAATTGTGTATAGTTTCTTCAAGAAAATGGCGGCCGCTGGGCGAGGGTACATCATCCTAGAACACATTTGTTAGAACCCATTTTAAGCTTGGTGGCTCCCAGCCATCCGGATCCTTAGCCTTTTAGCCTTTTGGTGTTTAGTGATAATTCCCATTTAACCCACTAACAGTTAGTCACTTTTAGTGGGGGATCTGAGGGCAGCCCAGTAAGGCTCACCCGAATTCTTGGGACCATCGAATGGACGGGCACCTTAGTCGGGTGCGTCTCTGATGGGAAGCTCGCCTTTGACTCGGCTGCCAGAGAACTCGAGGCGACAGCCTCTCCGGCGTGCGAGTGCTGGGGAAGCGTTCTGAGCTGCAAATGCGCCGCTGGGTCTATGAGACTGGCTCGGACGAAAAGGGACCTCCCGAAAAATCAAGGAGCCACTGGTTGCAGCGGTCCGGAGACCCGGGTAGTGAATTGGTTCTAACGTGAACAGGTTGCAGCTGGCACCAGCGTCCGAAAGGAACCCAGTGAGAAATCAACATTAGGGTCAGCTACCTCCATTTGCGTTTTCGTTCCCTGGAAAAATGAAGCCAACATGGGAAAATAAAACATGTTCTTAACCAAATGGAAGGCTATGTCAGGTTCTTGACCATGGTCAGTTGACCCCAACCGTCCAAAAACATCCCTCGAGGTGCAAGGATGGGAACAGGCAGTCGCAGAAAGGTCCTTATAGTATTATAGAAGGTCCCTGAAGGAGAGAACCGGTCTTCTAAAATGGCCATTTGCAGAGTTCATTGTTTGGCCTATTTCTGCAAGATGTCAAAGTCAGCAATCGGATTGGTTCGCTTGAAACCTACTGTTGGGGGGGGGAATTAGATGATGCCAGGTCTATGTGTTTTTGGCAGTTTCCACGTTGAGAGATTGCCCGATCTTCAATGCCTTCCTTTTCTTCTTTGAAAGTTTTCTACCCTCCCATGGCCGCTACTTGGACCCCATATGTGTTTGGGGCAATATTTGTTGTGAGGGTTGTTTGAGGCTCCATAAGTGCAAGTGATGCTACGTTACGATTTGTTCACCTTAAGGGGGACTACCACACTTTGCAATTCGCAGAGGTGCCCTCCAACTTTGCCTTCCCAAATGTCCACCGCTGTTGCCTGATTTCCCTAAAGTCATGCAGACATTGACCTGCATAGCCCATGGATGCGGAAAATTGGGTAGGGCCACTTTCCCTGCTCCAGATACCCGATTTGTGCCTCCCCCTTGGGTCGGTCGTCATCCCCTTTATTGACAAAGCAGGTATGCTTTTCACGGCATGCTAGGACCGACCTGCTCCAGATACCCGATTTGAAGGGATGGTAGATACCTCCCCCTTGGGTCGGGGTTGACGTCTTGAACTGAGGACAATGGTATTTGGAGCGGTGACATGTTTTCTGGCGTCGAAGATACGGGGTGATTTATGAAACAGAATCTAAAAGAAACGACAGTTGAGTCTACCCACCAGTCCGGCAAAAGTTTTCTCCTTGCACGTTAGGACTTTTAAGCACGAAAAGGTGTTCCCAGCCCACCTTCAGGCGGCATTCATGGGCGCCGCCCTAGTTTTCCCTCATGCAGCTAACCCAGAAGCAGGGAAGATGGGAAGCCTCCCAACCATTCCCAAGATGGGAACCGAGTGCCTGGAAAGGGGTCCTCTGTGGTGGAAAGTGTCCCCCCCAACAAAATCCAAAACACATAGTTTCTTTGTTCACTTGCTGGATCTGCTCGGGCTCCGGCTAAGATTAACGAGCAAGGATATGCTTTGCCAACTGCAATTCCTCCGAAGGCGTTCCCGGCTGCGACTTGCTCAGTCAATAAGGCCCCCCCGCACTGCGTGAAAACTCACATTTCAGTCGCCAAATAATCCACTGTGGATGGACGAAATCCTGCACCACTTCGAACCGGTATTTACAAGGGAATCGTGATTCAGGGTGTTCTTAGGTGATGCAGGATTTCGTTTATCCACAGTATTGAGGGGGCCAAGGATCTGGGAACATGATGATCTGCAGCCTGTGCGGTGGTAATTCCTCTGTACCCGAGCACATCGCGCCGTGGGAGATCAACCTACACGCACCCAAGCACACGTTCAAACTTCGCACGCGCACAGGCACGCGCCCACCCGCCCGCCCGCCCGCCCGCCCACCCACCTACTTACGTCGGCACACACACACAAACACACATGCACACATACGCACACACATACACACATACGCACACATGCACACACACCACACACGCACACACACACACACAGACCGACACACACACACACACACACACCCCCTAACGAGACAGACCCATACGCACACACACACACACAGACCCACACACACACACAGAGACAGAGAGGCACAGAGACTTGAGTTTCAATTAGTCATCCCGATGCGGTTTTCGGTTTCTCTGGCGAGCCCCCAGGGTTGGTGGCTCAGGTGCGGGTAATCGCCTACTGCACAACGGCCTCACGGACGACCACCAGCTGGAGGTGCCGATGCAAACACATTTGGAGTGCCACAAGACACACACACACACACATGGCTGTGGTTCAAAACCAATAGTACCATTTGGGTTAGTGCACCACCCATTTTGGGTCCCCTAAGACATATTGTTTGTTTGGGTTTAGAGGCAATACGTTGTTCCATTTTGCTTAGATGTTGGGACTTTCACATTTTGCCAACTAATGGGTTTTCCGTATCAAACCACTAAAAGTTTAAAAAACTCTTAGCAGGGGAGCAACCGAGTAATTTGTAGGTTTGTCTGTATATCAAGCTGGCCTGGGGCAACATCCCTTTGCAAGGTAGATTGAGGGGCCAAGTGGATGTATGTAGACATATATATGTATATATATATATATACATGTACAAAGACATATGTAATATGTCGTGTTGACCCAGGGTTCCTGCACTTCCAGTTGATCAACAAAGGGGAACACCTTCATTGTTTGGGTGGACACATCCCCCTATTATTGCCCCAAGTTGGCTAAATCCAACATACATGTGGTCTATATACGGCTGTTTGCTCCGTTCGTAATGAGCCCTCATTCTTCGAAGTCTGCCTGGAATATTGGGCCAATTGCAAAGGAGGGCGGCTGGAAAGACAGCAGAGCGGGCTGAGCGTGCTTCTCATCTGGGTCAAAATTATGTTTTTCAGGGACCGCAGGTTTTGGCCCACGTCTCCACCAGGGCAACCCATTTTGGGGTTACCATTTTTTTGACCACCGCAGCCATCTGGGTTTCAAGAATCCTGGGATTCCATACAGCTCACAGTGTCCATGGCATGCTTGCTGCTGGGAGATGACAAGCTCAGCCGCAACACAAAGAAAGGGGGTCGATGGGTTTTCATGGGGGCTGGGGGGAGGGAGGGGGGGGAGCCCTTATTAAGCCCTTAATAAGGCCTTATTTAGGGCTTATTTGGGCTCCCTCCCCCCAGCCCCCATGAGGTTTGGTTTTTTTTGGTGTCCCTTTACCAGGGCCCACATCAAATGACCCGTGTGCCGATGAGACATTTGGAGCAACTCTGATCAAGGGTACACCATTGAAGAAGTGCAAGCCCCGTTTTCCAGGTGGAACCCGGAACCCATAAGTTTGTAGGCTTTTAGTTGGAAGTTTTAGATCACATGGAGGGGGCTTGGGGTTTCCGTTAGAGACAACCCCGCAGAGGAGACCCAACAAGATAAAAAGATCGTTCGGGGTCTGTTCTTGGGCTCCAGAGTGTTTCGGAGCGGAAGGGTTCCGGGGCTTGCTGCTGGGAATGCCGTGTTTTTTCTCATTTTTAGGCTCCATTAGCGTCAGCCCATCAAAGGCCTACCAATTTGCACCCCTTTGGAGGTGGTTCCCTTGCAAACCTCTCCTCCGGAGAGACGCGTTCGGTCAAGAGGCTTGCGTTCCGGCGCCCGAAAGTGGGAAACACCTCTCGATGTCGGCAGTTTCACGCGTGAAGGACACTTAGGGAAAAAAAAAGCTCGAAGGGAAGAGGACACTTGAAGCCAAGGAAAGCCAGAGAAGCCAAAGGCAGCTCAAAGAAGCCAAAAGGGAAGCCTAAAGGAAGGTGAACCAAACACCAGGATAAGCCAAACCAAAGACTGCTCTGAAGAGAAACCAGAAGAAATGAATTGACCCAGAGCCCCACAAAGACACGGCTGGAAGTTGACGCAGCAAGGCGCCCCCTGGGGTGATCCCGGCGGGTGCCACGGCAACTGTGCGCAGCTGCAGGCGGGTCGTCAGAGGGGCTTCTTTGACGGCTCAGTGAGAATTCCACCCTTGAAGTCCCATTGAATTTTTGCAGATGGTCCGCCAGCTAGGTGCCCGACCTCTCACTCACTTTTTGGTTGGGAGGGTTCCCCTACAGAAGAAAAGGGTACTCATATTCCAACCTCTCCACTGGCAGGACCTAGCTTAAAGTGCCATTGAGCCTGTGGTGTGTGTTTGTTGGTGTGTGTGTGTGTGTGTGTGTGTGTGTGTGTGTGTGTGTGTGTGTGTGTGTGTGTGTGTGTGTGTGTGTGTGTGTGTGTGTGTGCGTGTGTCGTCCTTAGTCATATGTCCAGGTCATTTAAGGCCCATGCAAATCCCTTCTTGTTTGGGTTCCCCCGGCAATGGAATCAAGCTCCAAAGGGAAGTTATTCCGATTGTTTGCAACTGGGGAGGGGGCTGAAGGGGCTGGTCTGTAGCTGGAGGTTTGGTCAAGTTTACCAGTCCATGGTCCATATGCGAGGGGTTTTGTGGGGGAACTCGCCTAAGATCCCACAAGACCCAGAGAACGAACGCCAAACAGTTTGGGGCCCTGGGTTCCTTGAAATTGAATTCATTTGGGTGTGGAGTTAGTACCTTTTTGTCGGGAGTTTCACAGACAATATTTGGTCAGGATTTAGGGTTTAGGTTTTGAAAGAAGCCCAAAGGATTTGCCCGGAACCCTGTTTGGCTGTGATTTGAAGGGCCCTGGCACGACATCATAGTTGCGCTAGGCTCTGAGGTGGTTTCGAGCGGGCTGGAGGCTTTTCTTTCGAGTGACTCGAATCAAAGGACGTGGAACCCTTTTCGGGTCGGGCGGCAAAAGCTGTGGGCGTGTCCTTTTGGTGAGGGACCATATAACTTTTGGGTTGACTTAAATCGATGAAAAGGGAAACCACCATTTTTCGGGATCCTTGATAAACCCAAAAGCTGCCTCTCCCATAGGACGGGCACACAAACACACCCTTCGCAGGCAGGCCGTGGCCTCCGCTTCTTGCCAAAGCAAAGTTGTGACCTTTTATCCGGGTCCCAACCTGGAATTAGCGAACTACCGTGGATGGTTGCGAAATCCAGCTTCGTTGCCCACCGTTCAGAAACCCTGGTTTCTGACTCGATTCCCTGCAAATACCAACTAACAATGGTTGAACAACCATGGTTTCAAACTGGTGCGAAATGGATTTGTCCATCCACAGTATGTTTGTTCCTGTGTGCAGTACCAGACCCCCTGTACGGTGGATTCCCAAGATACTGCAAGTGACATTAACGCGTGCCTGGTAAATTGCGCTTAGATTACAGGGTTTCCTTGGTTCCCTACTAACCACCAGAATTGGGCAGCCCTCCCACATAGTCTGTTTCCCCTATTTTCCCTTGCTGTACTGCAATTTAGAGTCTTAGAGCCTAGACTAGAAAAGGTAATGATCCCCGCCCAGTGGTTTCTTATGATTGCCCGCAACCTGAGACAAACCATCTACAACTGCTTTCCGCAAACTGCCATGTTCCATCAAGGTCTATTCATAGGACAACGGCCTGTTTGGGAAACCAGTTGTAAACGGTTGTTTCCTATGTCCACGAGTTCCCTACTTTTCAGGATGAATCCCCCTCTCCCGCCCCATAGGTTGTGTTTGGATGTCCACAGAAAGGCTTTTTCGGTTGAACAGATCATCCGCCCCCGCCCCATTGGTTGTTAACGGGGTTCCTACTGTGGATGGACGAAATCCGTTCGCACCCCAGGAATGATGATTCCCTTGTGAAAATACCAACCAAGCATGGTTTCAACCATGGTGGCTTAGGTGGTGCGAAAATGGGTTTCGCACCCATCCACAGTGTGTTTGTTCATTTGTTCCCCACAAGACTCGCCCCATAGGTCCCATAGGCGCGAGAAGCATGCTAGGTCCCCCAGCTAGGTGCCCTTTTGCCAAATTTGGTTGGGAGGGTTCCCCTGCTAAAACAGACAAAACCGACAAGAGTTGGCACCCGTATGCTAAAAACTGACAAAACCGAAAAATAATCGGGTACCAACTTATTTTTTTTGGGGGAGGGTTCCCCTAGTAAAAGATAGACAACACCGAAAAAAGTCGGGCACCAACTTATTCCAACCTCTCATATCTGGACCGAATCCATGGCTCAGGCCCTACGCGTTTCTGCCGAAGCGGGACGAAGACCTCTTGGTGCGGCTCAGAAGCTGCCGCGACTTCGTGGAGCTCGCGGTGCTGGTGCGTGCGGCGCGGCGCAAGGCGCGGGAACTGCGGGAACTGCGCGGATCGAGGGGCGTCGCTGGATTGGCTCGTTGGGCCAAGGAGTGCGATAGGGGTATGGGTCAAAATATAGGCGCGGATGCGCGGATTGGCTCGTTTTGTGGCAGTGGGATAGGGCACCTAGCTGGGGGACCGAGTCTCTGAGTGGAAAGCTCTTTGAGGAACACCCTCAATCAATGGCCGTGGTTGTCAAAACCAATGGTGCCATTTGGGTGTGGGTCAAAAAAACATCACCACCAGGAATTGGACCGCAGGTTTTAGTCCTTGGTTCCATTTACCAAAAGTCCATTTTGGGTACCCATGTTTGACCCACACCCATGGGGAATGAGAAAGGAAAGCAGGCTTTGGTCCCCTTAAAGGAAACCACCAGTTGGATGGTTTATATGGGGTCATTCCATTTCTTGTTCCCTGCTGAGCACCACCAAGTTTTGTCTGAGTGCTAAGCCCAGAATGTTGAACTTGCCCAAACAGAATCTCAAAGGGGATTTTATTCCAGGGGGCCCTATTTAAAAGGCAAAGTTAATTGGTGTGAACCAGACTTTGGCCGTGATCTGGTGTTTCAAGCGGGGTCGCCTCCGATATGATGTTGTATTAAACTATGACACACAATCTGCTAACAGTTTTTGGTGCATCCGGTTGGGCCATGTGACCTGGTACCCCACCTGGTAATAGGTTGAACATTGGTTAACCCCGGCACCTCAAAAACCATAGGCCACCGTACCCTCCAAACTGGGACACCCCATATACCCCCATATCCGCCTCCGTCCGACGTTCCTTTGGTGGTTTTTCTTTTCCTGCTGGTTGGTTTTTTTTGCAGGGCAGGAGCTACCCGCAAATTTCCCATCCAGGAGCTACACACGTGCCATCATCAACCCCTTCAGAGGGACGTCAATGGTAAGGATTCCCAAAGCGGAATCCAACTTGCAGGTGTTCTCTTGGGAGTCCCTAAACGCTTCATTCCCAAAACGCATCCGCTTGGGAATCCCAGCACGTCGTTTGCCAAGCGTCCGGACCCTGAGGGCTTCTTCTTCGAGGCGGGACAGGGCTTCGAGGGCGAAAGGATCGTACGGGAAAGTCTCGACCGAGAAGCGAACTGCTCGGGTTGCATACATGAAGATATATACATCTGAATATATAAACATCTACTCTATACATGTGAGTCTCTCGCTTTCTCCCTCTCTCTCTCTCTCTTTATATATATATATATATATACACGTGTGCATATTTGTGCATGTACGTATTACCCACTATTTCCTGTTGATTGATGGTTTAAACGGTTTCAACAGCGCCTTTTCGCTTTTTGGGGGGTGAGGTGAGAGTCGGGGGGAAGGTTGGCGGAAGATGGCGAAACCAACATTAGGCTTGCATTTTTTTCTTCTTGTTTTTCTCCCCGGGGAAGTGAGCTTGATTTTGGTTGTCTGCTGTAATGCTGTTCCTAAGAGATGCCTTCATGGAGCACACCCTGAAGAAGGAACAAGCATACCCGTCCGGTTCTTCTTATGGCCAAGTTTGCGGATCAAACAAAGCAACGACTCGATCGCAGATTCCCAGCATTTACTTTTGTATTGCAGCATTGCGAATTGTAAAATTAGCATTGCCAAGACTCAATCTGAGATTCCCAGAACTGAATTTAGCATTGCCAATTCTGCATGTAGATTGCCAAGCACTGTTTATTTCAGCAACCCCAAAAACCAGTTGGACACGAAAGAGGACTCGTGTGACTGCTTGCCCTCACTTTTAGTATTGCATGGCCTTCAGCCTCTGAGCTGGGAAGGGCTAAGATGCCTTTAAAGGCCTTCTTCTCAACAAGAAGTGTTGCAGTGGTTTGTTTGCGTTGCCCGATTTTCTTTGGGGCTACAAACTTCCAGTATAACAATCGCGGACCCCAAACACAGTCCCAGGATTCTGAACTAAGACAACAGCTTTCTTTCAGAGTGACCCCGGAAAACTGCCGCCACGAAGCGTACAATGCTGAACATTTGGATGAATGGTCAGTTAAAAGGTTTTCTAAATTGTGGCAACTTTTTTTTGGGGGGGGGATCCAATCTTAAACAGGGTCCCTTGAAGGCTACATTTGGCCAGTTCACAAATCGACTTGGCCAGCAAAAAGAGGATGCCCGGGAATGAGCCAATTGGCTTCTGGCTGTACTGGAACCCTGTTGCTCAAGACAAAGCGCCAGGGTTCTTTGAAGACTACAGAACGGCTCGGTATACCAAACTAAACTAAGCAAAGACCCCTCAAAGACGCCAAAGTTGCCCACCCTCTCAAGCTACTAAACTAAAAAGGCAAAGACGGCAGAACGGCTCGGATGCCAAACGAAGCTCGTCAAACCAACAGGCAGAAGTTGCCCAGCCTTTGAAAGGACCCCCAGCGATTGGGGGTTGAGGCCAAACGAATCCAAAGGCGGAGGCTTGGATTTGGCCATGCTCCGTGGTTGGTTGGTTGGTTGGTTGGTTGGTTCGTTGGTTGGGTGTTTGTAGGTGCCTGGTTCCAACTCAACCCCTCTCTAAGGGGTTGATTCCCCTTTGCAAAAGGGAGGTTGGTTGGTGTGGGGTTGCTTGGAAGGTTGGTTGGTTGGTTGGTTGGTTGGTGGGTGGGTGGGTGGGTGGGTCGGTCGGTCGGTCGGTCGGTCGGTCGGTTGGTTGGTTGGGTGTAGGTGCCTGGTTTCAACTCAACCCCCCTCTAACGCGTTGATTACCCGTTTTTGGGGGAGGGTTCCCCTACTAAAATAGACAAACCCAAAAAAGTGGGTCCCAACTTCTTCCAACCTCTCAAATCTGGAGGGCCTAGTGTTCCCCATTGGGGTGGAGGCCGGTGGTGGCCCCGCAGGCCTGGCGCGCCCACCGCCGCCTCAGCGCGCTGCGCCTCGCGGCGCCAAAGGCGGCCAAGGCGCCGAGCGCCTCCGCAGCGCCGGCGCGGCGGGAGGCGCTGGTGGCGGCCAAGGACTGGGACGGGCCCAGGGAGGGCTACCCACAGCGCCTGGGACGACGGCTTAAAGGAAAAAGGCGGGTGGTGGCAGGCGCTGCTCGTTTTTTTTCATCTTTTTGTTTCTCGCTTTGTTGGAGGGGGGAGGTTTTTGGATGAAAGGGTTGAAGGAAAAAAGGCGTGTGCCACGCGCTGCTCGTTGTTTTGGTTTTTGTTTTTTGGGGGGACGGGGGTGGTTTTTTGCTGCAAGGGTTGAACGAGAAAAGGCGTGTGGGGCACGCGCTGCTCGTTTGGTTTGTTGTTTTTGTTTTTTGCGAGGGAAGGGGGGTGGTGTTTTGCTGCAAGAAAGGGAAAGGTGGAAAGGCACAAATCTCGTTTTTTCTGTTGTTCATGTTTTTGGTTTTCTTTTTTTCTTTCTAGACTTTTCTGTTCAGCTTTAGTAGGGGGCTGCAAAAAGACAGGTTTTGCTACCATTCCATCGGTTGAACCGTTTTTAGGTTTGCAAAGAGGTGGAACATATATGCCCACGTGGTATCCCCAACCTGGAACCCTCCGGAACCCCTCCTGTTCCCCGACAAAGAAAAGGACAGGCAGACACTCCTTCAGGTGACGTGAGTCAATGAGGCTCAGAATGCAAGGCTTTCCCTTCAGAAGGGCCAAACCGCACTGAACCATGTGGGTTGGAGGGTAGGTCCTACGTTGATTGGCCTTCTGCGCTGCTTGGTGAACCTGTTTTCTTTTGATCTTTTGTGCAGGTTTGGTTGATTCCTCGGTTTCCATGGCTGCTTTTACGAGATTTGGGGCAAACTTTCTTAGAACCATAACATGCTCTGGTTCCTCTTAAAACGGAAGCAAACAGCAGAGAGATTAAACAATAGCAACACAAATAAGCTGAGGTAATATCCCCAACAGCATTTGGTACTCTTTTTAGTACTCGCACCACCCCACAGCCCTCGCAGAACCTCGTGGAACGCTGGTGGAACCCTGGTAAACCTCTGGTGGAACCCCGGTGGAACCCTGGTGGAACCCTCGTGGAACCTTGCCTCAGGGCCGCGCCGGACCACCCCGGAGCCTATCTGGGCTGCCCAAAGCTTTCAGCTGTTGGGGAACAAAACAAAAAGAACAAAAATGCCCAGGTGCGTTTCCATCGAGCTGGGCACTCTTTGCGAGGTGCTGCGCACCGTGAGGGGCTGGCTGCTGGTGTATACCTCCCAGCAGCAGCGGGGCTGGTGCAGCCCACATGTCTTCAGCTAGCGAATCCCATTTCCGGGCGGTTTCTCAAAATGGAGATGCTTTTTTGCGCCCCCCCCCAAAGAAAAAAACAAACAAACACAACAACGCGGTTTCTCAAAATTGAGCCTTTTTTTTGTTTTGTTTTTTCGGTTGGCATCCCCTGCTCCTGCAACAACTGCTTTTTTCAACTGTGGCCAAAATCCCAAGTGCACCCAACGACTGCGTTTTCAACTGTGGCCAAAATCCCGGTACTGTCCACAAAACAGTTAAGTTGGGGGTTGCTGGTTCGTTTGATGTTCAAATGGGGAACCAAAATGGCCCTACAGTTTTGTTAGAGGTCTCTCATTTTGAGAAACACTCGTCCGGGATTGGAAGCTGAGTGGCTTGGAGGACTTTCCATGACAGCGACGTTGTTTTTTGTGTTTTCGAGGTGTCCAAGTCTTCAAAGGTTGGTTTGAAACCTATGCCAAGATGAAAGCCACCTGTTTGAGGTCCAAATCTCTTTGACACATTCCTTCCCTGGTCCATGTGTGATTCACAGCGCCCCGAGGCCCCCAGATTCAAGAATAATGACAAATGATTCACAGCGCCCCAAGGCCCCCAGATTCAAGAAGAATTTAGCAACTGCTTATCTAGATGGTGTTAACTCCGACGGCTTCGATTTGACTCCGGGCCAAAGAGCGCCCGAGCGAAAGGTGCAAAAGGCGCGAGACTCTCGTTCGTTGCCTATCGGAAATGATGGGGGGATGCCTTAAAATGTGGGACCCCTGGTGTGTGATCCTGAAACTCACTCCCAGTGTTTTGTTTGACGACCAATTGAATGGTTGGCAAAATGCTTTGATTTTCTTCGCTCATGCCGACAAGTGAGGAGCTCACGGGTATTGTTTGGGGTGGTTTTCAAGGGAAACCAAACGGAACATACTTGTTGAGGGTTCAAATCTCTATTTTGACACACCCCTATTTTGACACATATGTTTCCCCCTTTGGCGAACACCACCATTTTGGTCCGCGGCCCCAGGCGAGTTTCCCTTGTGGGCGATGAATTTTCAAGGTCGTGGGCAAAAAGGCGCCCAATCCAGGGCGAGCAGGTTGTGTACCTATCATACAGATGTTCTATACATCAGCGGAATAAAGAATTTGAGAGGCATCGATGAAGGTTGAAAGGGGCACAGCTCTCTAGTCCCCGGGAAACAATGGAATTGGGGAGGGGTGATCCCTGGGATTCAGGGTTGTGGGATCAAGGGGTTTAGCCCCCACTTCTGTGATACAAGGGAATCCCTTCTTTAAATGGGAGAGTAGTCTGTGGGAGGCCCTTCTTGTTGTGTCACAGTGGTCATCTCCCACAGCCCTGCTGGGATTCTATTGGAATTTCATGAGATAAAGACAAGGGATGGCCGATGCTCAAGCATTTTTTCTGCCCCGCCCCCCCCCCCCCCGCCCACCCACCCCCAAAAAAAACAGCACCAAGCAACTGGCGGATGATCTTGTGCTTTTTTTCCCAATTTTTCTGCAATTTTTCGGGCATCCAACCGATTCCCTTCAAAACCGGAGCAGTCCGTGTCCGTGTCAGGCCCCGGGCAGCACCATCCGGAGGACCACTGCTGCTCCAAGCGACGCGCAGGCGCCAGCCAAACCCGGAGCCTTCGTGTGGCTCAAAAGGGGAAAAAACCACCCCGACAGAGGTGTCAAGAAAAAGAAAGGCACAGATAAATACAGGGCTCCTTAAGAGATACATTTGGCCCAGTTGAAACATGGCTTTTTCCACCAAAAGTGAAGGGAAACCCACCATTTACAAGTTGCAATGCTCAGGTGTTTCAACAGCTATGGGTCTCTGCCCAGAAAGGCTTTCTGGGGTTTTGTTGGGGGCGGCTTTCAAGGCGAGGCCTGGGGATCTCTGGGTTCTTCTGTGAGTTTGGAGGTTGGTTGGGGATTGGCCAAAGGGATACCGTCCTTTTGGGGATTCCCGAAATCTCAGCCGCAGGTAAAAGTGGCAGTTTGCGCTCTTGGGGTTTCCGGTTCTCCTTTTGGCCCTTTTTGACCAAAGATATAGCTTTTTGCAGGTCGAGTCAGTCTGACCAAGAAGATTGGACTCCTAAACGCCCCTTGCTTGGGGTCGTGGCCTTTGATCCGAAGATGAGATCCAATTCTGGCAGTACAGCCGCAGACCAAAGATCCCGGAAGTGGCAATGAAAACTACCATGCGCAAGCTCTTTCCCCAAGCATTTGTTGGGTCTCACTCCGTTCTATCCCCAAGCATTTTTTTCGAGTCTCACTCCATGGGGCTCCTTCGGGTCGCCCCAAACACCGTAGGCCCACGGCTCGGAGAGAAGGTTCAGCCCCGTAGGCCCCGCCTTCTCGCTGTCCCTTCCGCTCGCCTGGACGGCGACGCGGAAGGCGCGCCGGCTTCGGAACGGCGAAGACGTTTATGCGTCTCAGGTGTGGGCCTGACATCCAGGAAATGCACCCCTCCTCCTTTTGCGCCCAAAATTGGTTGTGCAAAACTTGGATTACACAAACTTGGTAATTAAGTGTCCATTTCGCCCAAAATTGGGTGTGCACCCCTCCTCCTGATCCTACACCTCCTCCTCCTCCTCCTCCTCCTCCTCCTCCTCCTCCTCCTCCTTCACCACCTCCTCCTCCTTTTTTCCGCCTTTTCTATTCTTGGGGTAAAACAATCGCCTAAATTCCTATAAGCATCCCTAGTTGCCCAGTGGCAACTCTTCGTCCCATTCCTGCAAAACCTTTGCTTGGCTCTATCTCTTTGAGAGTACCCCTTGGCCTGTTTTATATTGAGGGAAACCAAAGGAAAACCAACCATTTTGGGGGTTGGGAGGTCCAACCTGAACAAAGACAACCCCTTTTCAGGTTTTGGAACCGTAGAGTTTGCACACTGAGAGCCAGTACCCAACCGGTTTGGCATAACCCGGGTTGGCCATGTCTGATCTGAGGAGCGCAGGGTGACCCAACTAACTCGCCAGGATGCCAGCGCCGTTAGCGCCGCTCTCTTGGCCTTTCGGGTTCTTCATCTAGGTGCCCCCAGTAGTGCCCTTTTGCCAACTTTTTTGGGGGGAGTAGTTTTGGGGGAGTAGGTCCCCCACTAAAATAGGAAAAACAACACGTTGGTACCCTTATTCTAACCTCTCTACTGGAGGACCTAGTCATGATGTTCCCTTTCAACCGGCCAACAATGCGATGGTGATTTTGCAGGGGAGCCTTGGTCTGGTCGAGTTTCCAGCGCCCGAACAGATTCATTATTGTGACTGCAAAACCGGGGAAAGACGCGCGCGCTAGAGCACGTAGTGTGTTCTCTACTTTACCGGAAAACAACTGGGTGATCAATATTCCATTTGGCGCCAAAAAGGACCGTGGGTCACTTGTCCCATGTGAAGAACGTTGTGGTTTCCAGCAAAGGTCGCCGTGATTTGTACATCAAGGCACCCTTTGGATCAACCCCCCGAAAAGAACTGCAATTCAGGCACCTCCCCTCTTTCAAACACAGCCAAAAACAACAACTCACCAAATTCCCCAGCCACCATTTCGCGGTTGACGCAAGGGGTTTTTGCGCCTGGTCATCTTCTTGAAGCTGTAAACCCTAAGTTCCGTTGCCGAGCCAATAAAATTCGCGCCCTATTCAACTTTCATTTCAGCGGCATCTTCCCCCGACGAATTGCCTCCCGTCGAATCCACGGGCGTCGGCCGTGCCCCGCGTTTCGCGCGAGGACCCGGGCCCCGGGGAGTACGTGCTCGCAGAGCCCAGCGCCACCAAGTTCCAGGCGCGGGATGGAAACGCGTCGGCGGTGTCCGTTTTTGTTTCCTTTTTTTTTTTTTTTTGGGGGGGGGGGGGTGGTTGTTTTTATCCTGTTGTTTTTTCTTCTTAAACAGCAGGTCTACAGGTTTTGTTTGGAGTTTCTACTGTTTCTGCTTCTTCTTTTCTCCAAGAAACAGCAGGTCTACAGGTTTTCTTTGGAGTTTCTACAGTTTCTGCTGTGTTTTTGGGTCTACAGGTTTTGTTTGGAGTTTCTACTGTTTCTGCTTGTTTTTAAACATACACATGTTAATATTTGAATATTTTAAAGAACATACTATTCTTAAAAATGAAGCAACATTAGATAGTTTGGATTAGACCAAACAAAAACGTGTTTTCCTTCTTGTTTTTTTTTTGTTTTCTTCGGGTCTCCACAGGTGTTAGTTTGGAGTTTCTATTTTTGTTTGTTTCGGGTCTCCAAGAAGCAGCAGGTCTACAGGTGTTGTTTGGAGTTTCTACTGTTTTTGCTTCTTCTTCTTCCTCTTCATTTTTTTTCGAGTCTCCAAGAAACCGTAGGTCTACAGGTTTTGTTTGGAGTTCCTGATCTTTTTTTGCTGTTTCAAAAGCTGATCCCCAATCAGGTTGACTTCCAGTTTGGTGTTCCTGACAGAACACGCAACAAGCAAAAGGGGTTGACCCCAAAAAAAGGGCATACCCGCTAACAGAGGCGATGGCTCTCCTTCCCTGAAAGGTCTTGTTTCGATCAGCTTCGTGTCGAAAGAAGCTCAAGCAGCCTGGGCTCATCAATCTCATGTGGGCATGTTGTTTTTGGAATACGCAGAGATCCGATTTCCGAGCCCACAAGTCCAAATGGCATAGCAGGCGGTTCAATTCCTGCCTGGTTTCATGGTGCTTTACTCGTGAGGCCGCCTTGACAACCACAATAAGAACCACAAGTCAATGGAATTTTGGGCGCTTAAGACTGTCTAGAACACAGGGGATCACTGTAGCTTTTGCGGACCCTCAAGCAACTCTCAAATACGCATGGCAATTTTTGCCCCCAAAGCTTTTCTGATTTCAACCAATAGTTTGAGGCTCCGGTCAGTCGGCCGAGACAGAAATAAATCGGGGGTCGTAGAGATCCTTGAAGCCAACCCACTGACCCTTAGGGTGTTTTTCTTGGTGGTTCCCAGCCATCCGGTTCCTCAAATCCTAACTTTTTAGGGTTTAGTCTGGAGTTCCAATCAACCCACTAAAAGTTGGACTTGTAGCACGGGATCTGAGGACAGCCAAGTTTTGTTTATCCACGAGATTGTTGAGTTTGTCATCCAGG